CGAGGGGGGGGCCCAAACCCGCACCCCCGGCGCCTGCTGCCGTTTCCCTCTTTGCGAAGTGCGCCTGTGGGAAGATGCAGAGAGGTAAAGCGGTTCCAAATCTGAGTGGCACCATTTCTGGCTCGCTCGCCTTCATTTAGACTGGGCTCCTCTTAATTCATGAAGGCGTAGTTGCTGCTTATGCCTTCTTTTTATTGCCATGTTTATTAGCAGTGCATTAAAAAAGAAAGAAAAAAAGAGGGAGTGACCTTTGTAACTCGGGTAACAGCGCAGCCCAGGTTGAGAGAAAGTGGGGATCTGGGAACGTTCCCTCAGCCCCGGTGTTGTAACTCGTAGCTTAGAACTGACTGGGGGAGACTTGGGCATATCTAGGTGCTTAGGAGGAAAAACAGGCGGAATGAAGCACGGCCCTGGTTCCTTTGTTGGTGTGTTTTGTTGTATCTGGAGTGCAGGAACGGCCTTTGAGTGCTAAGCTCCTTGGGAGGTAGCTCTCCTATCAGATGATCGTGCCTTTGAGCTTTGGCAAAGTTGCCTTTCAAGGCTTCACTGTGTTTTTCTTCAGTCAGAGGAGTCTAGGGTTCTCTCTCTTCTTTTGTTTTTTCTTTCCCCCTTGTATTAGCAGAAGAAAATGTTCTCTGCCATCACTTGGGGTCTTTTGGAACATACGTTGGTGCAGAGTGAGGTTTTGTCTGCCATTTTCCAGGAATATGCGGAACTCATCTGTCCTTAAACGAACGTGCAGACTGAGTTAGCGACTTCCATACACAAACCAAAGCACGTTGAAATGCTGTGTAAGTGCTGCCGTTTGCTAGCAGAGTGATATTAGTTCATTACATTTTCTGTGAATTAAGGCTGGCTAATGAATGAGAGCGTCTATAAAGGGATTAAACGTGCTTTAAATGTGCTTTACCTCATGTGGTTTATGTTCGCAATTCCAGTTAAAACCCCTGCCTACAGTCCTGTGTGTGGTCACAGCTGCAGCGTTGCTCCATTTGGGCTAATCTCTTTCTTAGGAGAATCCTACCTAGAACTGGTTTCTGCTAATGATGTTAGAATGCCAAAGTGCGAGATATGCCCGTGACCCTTGGCTGAGGTAGCACCGCTCGCCGTTCTGGCGCTGGCGCCTTCTGCCTGCTGGCGAGTGGCATCGTCCTGCTGGGGTCACAAAGCCTGAAGCTCCCCTCCCTTCCTGTTACAAAGGTAACAGTTGTCTGCTAAAGTGAAAGTTCAGGTGGGTCTGTGTCGCCATCAAGATGCATTGCGTGGTCTTTATCTGGGGAACCTGCAGAGGCTCAGGCAGCGCTGGTTGAGCGCTTGGTGCCTATGGAGAACATTTATGGCTCTGTCCCAGCCCAGCGAGGCCGCGCTTCGCAGTGAACCTCTGAGCTGCGTAGGCTCCCGTTCAATTCTACGTGACTTTGGCTGCGTGATCTGTAATGAGGCTTGGGTCACGTGCTCTTCTGCGACCAGATAAATCTGATAAATCCTCTTACACAGTCCGTTCTCAGAGGCCTCTTGGGCAGAAGAGGTTTTCGAGCTGAGAATATGGCCACTTCTTGTCAGCTTGCTTTATTCCGAGTGCTTAGGTAAAGTACTTCAGGTTCTGTTTCTGGTTTGCGCTCTTGTCCTGGAGAGCGTGCTATGGCAGCAATAGCATTCTAATGTTTCTAGATTGTGCTCGCTGAAGGAGACGCTCAAGTGAATGACTAGAGCGTTATCATCTTACGAACAATGTCTGTATCATCACTGAGATCGCTGTTCGTGCATCTTAAACGTGGAAACCCCCACGTGGAATCCTCTTTTATAACTGTTACTTTGTCACTTGCAGGAGCAGAATGTCGTAACTGAAACAAAACGCTGGTCGAATTTTGCTAATGTGGTGTGGTGTGCTTCGTGCCACACCTGTGTTTAGTTGTATTTGCATGCTAGCTGCCTTGTTTTTGTAGGCATGTGCGGTTTGCACTGAGTCACTTGTTTCTGCTGAGGTACGGTGGGTTCCTATGTGGACTCTGCACTGCCTCGAGGCGATGCTTGTGCTTGCTGTGTATTTGCAAGGCAGGTAGAAACCCTTTAAATGCTAGAGTGGTTTTTTGTTTGTTTCCCCCCCTCTTCTTCTTTTCTTTGTATTTCCTGTCTTGCTTCAGAAAGGAAAAACCTGTTATTAACGTACATTTTTTGGATTCCTGGGATAAAGCCCTGGATTTTGTGCTGCTAAGTCGTGGCTTGGCTTAAGCGGTAGGGAGAGCCGGCAGCAACCTGCTCTGGCGATGGGCAGGCAGCGTACAGCGGTTCTGCGGCTCTCCGTGGCCGCACGGGGTGGTCCCGTCGGC